GGGGAGCGCTGCGGGGAGCCGCGCCTGTGCGCTCGGGGTGTCACGGTCCTGCCGGGCCGGGCCGGGCCGCGGAGTCCTGGGGCAGGCAGTATGAGCGCCGTGTCGAAATCGGTGACTTTAGGTGGCTTCTGGTGAACCCCGGCCTTGTGAGGAGCTTCATGCCCGCGGTCCTGTCCAAGTGGCAGCGATTGTCTTTGTGCAGGCACCAAGGGGTGAAGACCCATTTCAGATGTTTAATTTCTAGGTGGAAGGTGGCTCTCCGGTTTTAATGGGAATTTACTGGTTAACTTTATTCACTCTTACTCAGTAAGAGCTAGTACCAAGGCCTTGGGGTCTTTTCCCTGCAAGGGGATGGCCCAAGCAGGAGCGGCACTGACGGGGAGCTGCAGGGCTGTGTTGTAGTGGCTCCGTGTCACTTTGCTCGCCTTGTCACTGCCAAGAATTACAGGATTATCCACAGAAATGCAAAAGCTGATGTGTGGGATCTGGCTCCCCAGTATTTATGGCCTTCCATTGTAGTGAATCTTGTCACATCTGTAAATAAGCTGTAGAAGAGCAAGACTTAAAACTGTGATTGGCACACAAGACTGTGGGCTTTGGGGGATTTATTTATTTTTGCATAATGCTTTTTCTAGATTGATGAAATTGAAGCCCTTTCATCCATATATGGTGAAGATTGGTGTGTTGTTGATGAAGATGAAAAAATCTATTGCATTAAGATTAATGATTGTCTGGATCAACCAAAATGGACCCTCTGTCTGCAGGTATAGTGACGTTAAGGAGTTTGGCATAGAATTTGCAGTTGGACTGATGCAGGCAAAATCTTGTGCCTGCATGAAACCCTTTTAAATAGGATTCATTATCTACTCAGATGGATTAAGGAGCTTTTGGATTGGAATCTGTGGTAGACTTCTCAGTGATTGTTCCTGTGACACATCAGTGTCCTTGTGGTATTTTCAGTAGTTACATATCCTAATTCCACACCTGACAAAAATGAATTTCAGTGTTTTTCTCCAAAGACTAGTTTTAAAAATATTTTTTACATTGACTTTATGTAGGACACCTCAGTGAATCTGCTGCAGTTGCTTCTAGATTTACTTTCTGGAGAGTGTGGAGACTAATTAATTTTCGATCAACTTAATTGAATAACTTGCTACTTTACAGAACTGAAAACAGAAAGTTTACTTAGTGGAAGAAACGCTGAAGTGTCTACTTATGGAAGTGCAGTGCCACTTAAAGAAGTCCAGTAACCATGTATGCAGCTCCTTTCAAATTTCTTCTGCACTTTATTTTGCATGACACTGCATCCACAAAAATTGAACCATGAAATATAATATTTGTGTGCATTACTATTGTTGGAATCCTAAATACAGATACTCAGGTTTTCTTGTCATTCTGTAACAACATAGCCAACTATTTTCTTCATTTGTAACACTGATTGCAGTCCTAGTGATTGACATCAGAGTCCATCAGTAAAGCTCAGCTAGCTGAGAGGAGTAGGTCCAAGTGAATACTCATCCTGAATTTCTTTCAGGTGATTTTGCTGCCAGGATATCCAACTGCAGAGCCACCTATTTATCAACTAAAGTAAGTGAAGTTTTCTTTCAAACATTTGTGTTTCTTTTCTGAATCACTACTGTTAAATTTCAACTTACACTGTAAACAATTAGTTAAGATGCCTCCTTGAATTAAAGTGTACCGGGGATGGCGGAAGTTTGCAGCAAGAATATTCTGTTCTTTCTCCTGAGTTAGCCTCATAGAGCTCCCTATGACAGTTTGGTCTCATCCCTCAACTCTAACTCTTGCCACATTATTTTGTGGCAAGGCCACAATTAGACTGTGGAGGTATGGTGGCTGCTACCTGTTGTGGTGGACAGTGATGTCTCATCGCTTCCTTGGGTGTACCCCTCTTGTCTGGATCCTTGTTTCTGATTGTAAGGCATGCTTTTCATCTGAGCACTGACTCTTGTTGGGATGGAGCCATGGCATGTGCCATCTTATTTTCCTCCCCTGCTCTCCCATTGTCTCCTGACGTGTAAATGAGTTGGGAATGGAGACGTGTAAGCCAGGTCCCTGATTTGGATGACAGAGGGACCTGCAGGGCATGACACACAACATACCTACTGAGTTCTGGTCAGCAGTATTGACAAGGCAATACAATGTAGTGCTGGTAAACTTGAGGGAAAGTTTATAGTTTAACATGAGACCGGGAGGGTACAGGTATAGAACTGAAGAGTCATTCAAAATATAATAGGTATTATGGTGCTGAAGGAATTTGAAATGTAAACTGATAATATGTACGGTGAGTCTGGAGTGACAGTGGCCTACCATGAAAAACAAGTCCAGCTTTCTTACCTGAGGTAAGAAAAGGCAACCCAAGTTAGGAGTCTTGAAGGAGAACTGGGAGATGGTGCTTTTACCAAGATGTTTACAACTGGAATCTTGTTAAGTGGGAACGATTGGTAATGTTTTATTTTCAAAATGTTTATCACCTTTTTTTCAAAATGAATGTTTGTTGAGATATTGGGATCAGTGTATGGGCACAATTTTAATTGTATTTCTTTTCATTCTAGTGCCCCTTGGCTTCGAGGACAAGATTATGTGGAACTAGCAAATAGCTTGGAAGAAATATATGTGTAAGTTAGAGACTGTGGACTATAGTAAAAGGAGACAATGTATTTTCAGTTTCATGCCCTGCTCAATGTATGCTTTTGAAGTACCTGCGTAAACCAGTAGTGGTGAAGTGATTGCTGCAATAGCCATAAAGCAGCAAGTTTCTTTTATAAATCTAACAGTTAAAGATGCCCTGTATTTAGTAAGAGTTTTGCAAGAACAAATTGTATTAAACTCTGACAAGTTGCTTTTATATTGTTCAAACCTGGTGTTCTGTAAGGACAGAGTCTTCATTTTGACTCCTAATAGAATAGGCTCCCTTTAGAATCCATGAGATCGCTTATGAATTGGTGCTATGAAGTATGAGATTTCTGCACCTGTTCCGCATTTGAATGTTAAAGTGCGGGATGTGAAAACGTTTGTTCGTGTCTTAGAGCGTAAGTGGCAAAGCAATTTTTCTTGAAAGCTAGCTAAGGGATAAGTAGGTTTTAAAACAAATTAAACACTTGTAGAATCTATTAACTAATCTGTAACATAGTGGAGTGTTTATTATCACAGTGTGCAACTAACAGCACATAATGAATGCATGAGAATAAACGGAACATTTAGAAATACCCAAATCACGTGTTTTTGAATTGCTGTGAAATTGGAGTAGTAAATGTAGTAATTTTATATGGTTTATGTAATTCTTTCAGATCCCAAAGATAATATTAAGTAAATTAAATGAAAATATGTCATGAGGAAGCACAATCATGCCCAAAATACTGAAATCTGAACATGTTGCATAAGAGATGTTTTTTAATGTCATAAAATAAGGAAGAGAGCACTTAGCTTGCGTGAGGGTTTTTTATCTAATTACTCAGTTAGTTTGATTAACTGGATTTTTATTCTAATTAAGCAACAGATAATTTAAGCAAGTAAAATTGAATTTGAAGTGTTAAAAATGCAGAAGCATTTTAGGTGAAAAGTTCTATGGGATCATATTAACTGCAGTTGTTCAGTGGAGCAAAGAGGACAGAAATTGTCTTTAAGTCTGTCCAGATTCATAGGATTTGCTGGAGTCTCTACCAGAGGTAGAGCTCCTGTAGGTGGTTCTTCAGATGTCCTGAGCGTCTGGTGCATGTTGCCATGTGAGGACCGTGAGGAGAAGTAGTGTGGTTGTGAAGCACTTTTTTCTTTTTTCTTTCTTTTCCTACCCCCTGCAGTCTTGTAGGCTTTTAAATTGTGCTGGTTAGATCAGTCCCTTGCAGCTCCATTCTGTCTATATCAGTTGCTGTTCAGAGCCATGGCTGATCTCCTCTTGTTACTGTTTGTTCATCGGGAAATTAATGTGTTTGTACTTTAGGCCATATCTGTCATTTTAAACTGTTTAAAAACCTTCCGGAGTAGTCACTGATGTGCACAGTGTTTATGAAAGCCTTTTATCTATCCAGTGTCTAAATAGTTGTCAGATAAACAGAGGTCCTGTGCATCATTTACATTGTGTGTTTTACCGGATTTCTAGTCCCTCGTGATGTAAATTGTATAGTTCTGCAATCTAAAACAATATGAACTGTACTGTCAATCACTATGTCGTTCTTAAGGAGGTGGAAAAAGTGGATAATTATAGATCACAAGTCTGTTCTGGGAGTCCCAAAGTTCTTAAAAAATGTAGCAAATGTTTGGGTTTGTTTTTTGTTGGTTTTTATTTTCTTCCTAGATATTCTTTTGGTAAGACTTTTATTCGATAGAAAGCTTTGTTTCATGACTTAGACACAAGTGATAAGAAAAATAGCAGCATAGAAAGATAACCTTTCAGACTAAGTGTAATTTGCAAATAAACAGAAATTGAAATTGGGTTATAGCTGAAGAAATTGCTATTTACTTGCACAAAACAGAGAAATCTTATTCATTGTCTAATCTCTTTCATTCCATCATTAAAACAAATATAGTTCTTCATGTATTAAAATAGTCCTTCTGTATGATAAGAAACAGCATGAAATCAGAGTGTTGAATTCTTCTGGAGTCTGTCCAGATTTTGAAGACAGAGCTACAAGTTTATAAATTCCTTATTTTTGCTTGAATATTTTTGTTAAAATAAGTATATTTGTTTGAATTTCTGAGTGTATTCAGCAGTAGTGCTGTATACTTTGAGAAAAGTAAGAGTTTAAAAATGTCATTTTGTCACTGATATGTACTTACGTGGTGCCCCAGATAGTGGCAGTAAGAATAAAATTAATGAGAAACCGTGAGTTACCTATGGCCCTAAATCTTTAGTTTTGTGTTTGAGACAGACATGCACAATTCATAAACGTATTAAAATATAATTGCGAAGACAACTTTTCAGGACACTATTTTAAATATATTTTGAGTTGTTTGGATCCTGCTGCTCATTAAGGCAGCATTTGTTAACTCTGAATATGCCCATAAAAGATGTGTTCATCCCATCCTCTCCTAGTACCTTAATACACACCTGTGCCCCTGACTAAGGACTCCTAAACCTAAATCCTTACCTCCCTGTCCTATAGAACTGCTTATTACCCAAACTCTAGCATATCAGTCCAATGCTCCACTGTGTCTGCTGCCGGTGACCTACTATCACAGTCCATTGAGATCAACCTCTGCTGTGTGTGTACTGACTGCTTGAGGGGAAAGAGAAATGGGGCTGTTCCAAGGAAGAGCCGCCCTCCCAAACATGAAGCGGAAGGGTCTCCTACAGCCACAGAGCAGCTGAAGGAGCTCACTGCTGGCAGTACAGTACTTCTTGTAGAGAAAATGGATCCGGAGCAAGCTCTAAGGCTAGACATCCTTCTTTTGAAAATACTGAGGACTGTCCAACTTACTTTTTTCACAGTTGCTTTCTCTTTCCTTAGCGTCCAGAATGTTTGTCAGTTGCCTGTTTTCCTCCAGCATTGGTGCTTTTAATGTTTGTTGTTTTTTTTAAAAACAAACAAACAAAAAAACCCCCAAAACCCAAAAAAGAGTGTATGTAATGATGCAGATATCATGTGTTTCACCCAGTGAACTACTGGCAGAATTTTCCACAAGCCTGTCTAAGCTCTTTATCTCACTAGATGATAATGTTGTATTTCTGCGTGTCTGAAATCTGTGTGTTATTTGGTGTACTTTCCAAATGGAGAATCATTTTTGCAGATTTCATTCACTGTGAGTTTTAACTTCCAGACAGAACCTTGGTGAAAGTATACTTTATTTATGGGTGGAGAAGATACGAGAAGTTCTGATAGAAAAGGCACAGTCATCAGATCCAGGTACTTCAGAAAATACCCGAGTATTTCAGTTTACTTCTTGTTCAACTGGAAAGTAAGATTTCATTACAAGTTAAAGCTTTATGCCTGGTTTTGTATTGGATCTAAATAACAGAAAACAATAGTCTCCGGTGTCATGGCTTACTGTTTTACAGTGATAGCTTTTCTTTTTAAAAAGCAGTAGAGGAAAAAAAGGAGGAGGATGGCCTCAGTGAACTAGAACAAGGTCTATAGTTCTCTCAGAAATTAAATTACTTGCATGAAAGCAGAGTGCTGCACGCAGGTACATTATGCATTATCCTCTGTTCTGCAAAGGAATCATTCATATCAGTAATTAATTACTGGTATTGAGTACACTCTTGGAGGATTGGGATTAGCCTCAAGAGAAGATAAGCTTCAGAGGAATATGCAGACAAATGACCAAGGACTCCATCTTAATTGCATTTTACTGTATTGGGATGAAAAGTACATCATCACTAGAGTTGCAGTGATTCTTCTCCTGTTACTCTTATAGTGATAGGGTTTGTGTAAATTCACAGTTGTTCTTTCAAAAAGTAGTGGGTTTTTTGTGGGTTTTTTGTGCGTTAAAATGCTAAACTGCTATGAAATGCATGAGTGACATGCATGCACTTGTGGCAAGAAGAAATAGAAGTATTTTTCTATATCGTGGATGTTAGCTTAGTCCTATGAGGAATAAAAGACTGAAGAGGAGAAAAAAGTAGTATATTTTCAGTGCTGCTTCATGAAAAGGTCTAGTTTTAGTCTTTCAATAAACTGTGTGTTTTGTTGCTACATCACAGACATTTAAAAATTCATTCTTCATTAACATGACTAAAGGAGTGGATACTGAAAAGGGAAAGTTTTACTGACAATATTGGAAGTTTGTTGGGTATTTTGACAGCACCCTTGTGGCTTCTACTTAATATATCTAATGGTTTTTCTAGACCTTTTGAGCCTGCTATATCACCCCTCTGCTTTTTTACGGAAAATACCTACATTACAAAAAGTGCATTATCACCACATCATAGACCCTCTAAATAGAAATTAGATTGTGATATATTAACTAGTCTGTATGGTAGATTCCCTCTAAATCCAGTTGCCGGAGCACTGTGTGTTATATTTACTCTTTTGCTATTGACTATTATATTTTGTATGTTCTATGCATGAAGGAAAATAGGATTTTCGGGATCCCAGATTGCTTGAAACATGTCCAGAGAGATGTTTCAAATATAATGATTTCATAACCTCGTGAAGTAGCATTGAACATCAGCTCTACATTTTTCCCCAAATGACCAATAAATGACTGGAGTTCTTGTGAAACATCAGATTATTTTGGTCTCTAAATTCAGATTAAATTAGTGATAGCATTGTAAATGTTTAATGGAAATGGTAAACATTATTGTTCTTTTCTTCTTTGAAATACTGTTAATTAGTATTGAAACAGATGACATCATGCAAGGATCCCGTAGCATAAGTATTGTATTCCTAATTCTAAGGAAGATTTTAGTTAGTACTGGACTATGAATTTCTGGATTTTGTTGTAATTAATGTTGCTATTCTGCATTTCATAATTTTTAATGACAACCTATTTGAACTGAAAAGCCAAAGTTTTTTGAGAAAAAGATTTGGAAATTTTGTCTTGTCTCGCAAAAAAATGTGTAATGAATTCTACTGCTTGTATCTTAATAGAACCAGATATTAAGAAAACCAGTGAAGAAGTTGATGAAGATGATGGAGGTGATTTTCTCCTAGACTATCAGCCCATTCAAGAAGATCCGATTAAAATGTTCAATTACATTACATCTGAAAGTCAAGAAGGTAAAAAATATGCCCTTGTTAATTCTGATGAAATAATTTAGAAGAGAGAGGCCTTAAGATTCTGGTTTTCTACTCAGCTTTTGAATAAAATTAGTAACATTAAAATTATAATAAAGATTAGTAACAATCATAAAAAAACCCAACATATTTTTGGTGGTTCTGTATGTTATCTTGTGTACTTCCCTTTAACAAGTCCCTTTTTTGAAGTTGAGACATTCTTTACTTAAGTAGCCATACACATTGTTACCGTACTCGTAAAAGAAAACAAATGCTTCCTTGTTTGTGATTAGTAGATGAAGAGCTGCCATCCATACATCATGGAAACCCCATCACAGATCGGAGGAGTACTTTCCAGGCACATCTGGCTCCTGTGGTGACACCCAGACAAGTTAGTAGAGATCAGTTCTACTCTTTTTGTCTGTACTTTGAGCTTGATAAGATATACTTGGGATTAGCCAAATATGTCTGTCTGTCTGCCTTTGCATCTTTGTGTGCTAATATTGTCTGAGTATTCATCAGTTTCTTGCTTTCACTATTAGCTAAATAGCTCTAAGTGTCAGCTGTGCGGTTCTTCCTGCTATTCTTTACCATTATGTGCATTAGATGCAAGAGAATAAGAACATCGAAATTTGACTTTTGGGTGGTTTATCATAAGATATTTGGAAGCTACTGAGTCTATGATGTGTTGCTTGGAAAGTGAATGAAAAAGAGTTTATAAATGTTTTCCCTCCTTCAGAAAGGAATTCTATTGAAAAATAAACTTGGATAATGCATAAGTAAATCTTTATTGAGATCTAAGAGAGAGGTGTAAGCAGGTTCTAGAGTTGTATTTGCTTACAACTAGAAAAATGTCTGCCCTAGTTCCTGTCTGTTACTGGAATCATTGCTGAATGTAGACCTAGACAGAGTGCCAGAAAGTGGCAGCTATGTTTTGTTTCCCATCATGCTTCCCCTCTTTCAGCAGTTTAACACAAGGTAAAGAAAGTATCACTGTGTTTAATATTACTGTTTGTTTTTTTTTTTATCCTTTGTGCGATTTGTCCTGTTGCTTCTTGCACCAGAATTAACTTTCAGAATCCACAGCATTGTATGAAAATACGCCTTCCTGTGTTTGCTGTGAATCAGTCACTCATAACTTTGTTGCATCTCTCCACTTTCTCTGTGCAGTTGGATTTCATAGACATCTATCATATTTTATAGACCTTAGTTTTCTGTTTTCCAGGCTGAGGTCCCCCAGTCTATTTTGGTACGTGTAATGTATGCTGTAACCTTGTTGAGATGCAGACTAGAGCAATACACAACACTGAAGATGCAGTCACTCCAGGGATTTATAGAGTGGTGTGAAGAGTTTTTATATCTTCCATGTTTTTTTCCTAGTAATCCCTTTCAGCTTACTTTTTTGACCTCTGCTGAGCACTGAACTGGTGTTTTCATAGAAATGTCTGTTACAACCCCAAGATCTCTTCTTGCTAATGTTAATAACTAGTGTGAAGTCACTTTGTACATCACTTTGCATCTATTAACATCAGTCTCCTTTGATGGTCCCTGTTTAGTGGGGAAACCACTCACCTACTTATGTTTTCTTGTCCTTAACTGAGAGTTAAACGTTGAGAGGATTTTCCTCTTTCCTTTTATCCAATTCTAGCTTTTATTTGGTAAGTAATCTTGTCAGATGCTTTTCGAAATTCCAAGTAAGCTGGATCTACTGCATACTCAGTGACTCTGAAGAACGTTGACAACTTGGCAGAGTTTTGAAATGTATTTCGCTATACAAAAACTGTTACATTTTAAGCTGTCTGTGGTTTTTTGGGTTTTACTTCCCCCTCAGTTTGCCTAGTATGGATGTAAGACTTGTTGGTCTTTAGTTCCCTGAGTCCTTCCTGGAGTACTTTTGAGATGTTGGTATTACATCATTCACCTTCTGCTACAGAAAGTTTTATCTGGTATGTTAGATATCTTAGCTATACTTCACAGCTTCATACTCCAATTCCCTTTAAACTTTTACGTAAATATGATCTGGTTTTGCTGATTTGTTTCTATTCATTTTATCAGCTTGCTCAACCTTATTCTGTGCTAAGGCTCCACAGTATTATCCTTGCCTGACCTTTTAAGTTTATATATACTGTACATTCATTTAGGTCTTTGTGCTACAGCTGTATCGTCTTTAAGTGATTCTTTTATATATATTATATTTATCTGCTGGCAGTACAGATCTCTGGTAAGCTTCAGCTTCTTGTGTGTTTGAGGAAAAGATTATTTTATTTATAACTTCACAAATGTGTTGTGCTTTTCACATCTGCCTTGTCATCTATCTTAATTTTTCTCTATCTGGATACAACTTGAGCTTTTTTGAACACACTTTCAGCTTTTTTGAGCTGTTCTTTTACAGCTTCCAAAGTGAAAGTAATTATTCATTAGGTTAATGTGGAATAACTCAGTATTTTAAAATACTTAGTACTTTACCATTTTCATTAAAGTAGCACTGCACTTCAGGGACTTTCTTAGCTGTGCTCAGTCCCTGTGAACTGTGAGCCCGTATGAACTGTGCTGCTGTAGAAAGGGAAGAAATTGGAATCATTGGCTTAATGTCCTTTTCCCATTTTAAAAAACTCTCGCTTTTTGATCATGATTTATGAGTAAGATTGTTTCTACTTATGAGAAAGTCTGTACCCACAGACATGGATTTCCAAAAGGGCAGGTCTATGTCAAGAAATGGTACTCACTTAAAGCAGGTTAGTAATTTCCCTTTTGCATGCAAAGACATTCTTGATTTCTTCTTTTATGTGGGTTTTTTGTTTGTTTGTTTTTAAAACCAACACATACTCGATAAACCTAGGAATTTCCAGTCAAACCTTACTGGTATGTGGTTAGTATAAAGATAGAGCAATTCCCCAAGTGGCAAATCCGTCTTGTTTCACAGAGTCTGGCTGTACAGTGTGAGATGATTGGTCTTCAGACTGCAGGGAAACTTTACTGTGGTATGGACTAATTTTTCTGAAAGAAAGCGAAAAGAGGTGAGGAATGGGATAAACAC